CTGGGGGCGCACTTGCAGGAGGCGTTCCAGGAGCAGGAGATGCTAGAGGAGACGGGGGCCAGCATCGCGACGAAGCAGATCAGCATCACGAGCGACGCGTGGCAGCAGGTGATGGCGGAGGACCTCAGGCCCCTCGAGCTATCGGACGAGCTGGAGGCCTGGGGCGCGGACCTCATCATCCGTGACCGTCGACATGAACTAGCAGAAGCGCAGCCACCAGGATCTTCGCGGAGTAGGTCGCGAGGTTGGAGGAGGCGGCCATCAGCGAGGACGACATCAAAACGGAGATAGCAGCACATTACAGAGGCAGGGCATCTGGCTTCGAGGTCTGGCGGCTCAAGGCCCGTCCCACTCCAGGTCGTGCCCGTGCGAAGCTCGACTTAGCAGGGCACTGGGGCACCACGCACACGGTGCTGACTAGGCACCTGGCCCCCCGCCCCAGCGACGCGGGCCGGGCCCGCCCCGGCAATCCAGATGCTTAGCGGATGCGCGCGGACAGATGAAGGCGCCCCAGCAGTTGGAGCAGGGCCAGGTCTTGGGCAAGAAGCACAGTCGAGAAGCGCGCAGTGACGATTGCGAGATGCTGGGTGACCTCAGGGGCCCAGGCGCCCCTCAGACCCAGAGTTTGGCCAACCAGTCAGAGGGTCACCTGGCGACGGCCACAGCGAGGGGCTTCGATGACCAGAGGAGGGGCTTTACCAAATGAGTCAGATCAGCATGGAACGGCAAAGTCGGCATTTTACGCCCTCGCGTTAATAGGCAGCAGCGCCCATGGTTCGAGGTGGTCGCTGGCGCCCCCACGGGCGCGGCCAACCCGCATGTCGCGATTGCAATCGAGAAGTCGGAATGGGCCCAGTGGGCACCGAGCAGGACATCGCGAATCAGCTCAATTTGACGAGGGCCAAGGCATGGGAGGAGGACATTGAATAGGCTCGCGCTCGAGGACCTGGATGGGGCCATCAGATCATCGGCCTCCTCCGAGGCGAAGGGCGCTGACCAGTTGGGAGCGCAGTGCCCCGAGAGAGCGCCGGGGGAGGCTGGGGAATGGCTTCTCCAACTACTTCAGCATTGCGAACAGGAGGTGACGTGGCCGAGACACTTGACGGCCACCAAATGTGCATTGGCCGCCAAACCCGAAGGACGAGATCGCGCATGGGGCACGTGGGCGCCACCGATCTAGCCGTGGTCGAGAGCGAGAGGAGGTTGCTGTGATCGCTGGGGCGCCGGTCCGCAGGCGCACTTGGATTTAGCGCTCATGGGCAGCTCCGCCCCCAGGACGGGCACCCCAGCGGTCGCGTTGGCGCTAGAGGTGGCGGCCTTCATTGGCAAGCCTTTTCTCCGGGGGCGCAGCGCGCTCAGCGAGGCCACCTGGCCCGCCAGGCCCTCGGTGGCAGGCTCAGCGAGTGTGGCGTGTTCGGCAAAGTGGTTGCTCCATCCTGTGATGGGCCGGGCGCGTCGCTGGGCTTCCACTTCGCCACTGTTGACGCGCGCCAACGACGCCGCAGCGAGGGTGGGGGGTTGCAGAGCTCGAGCGGGCGAAGCGATCAAGGAGGTCACCGCGCTCGTCGCGGGTGGTCTCGAGCGGCAGAGGGCGGCGGTCTCCGGCAAGTCAGCGCTGCTAGGCTCGCGCACCAAGGGCGTCGAGAGGGCCGCGGAAGAGCTACGCAAGACGGGGGGGCCCGCCCAAGCGGCCGCTGAGGCGGTGGACGTAGGCGTCGACGCCTCAACGGGACGAGAGCGGAGCGCGGCGAAGGCGGCCCTTCGACGTCAAGAGGCCTTTCGACGTCAAGAGGCCAAAGGGAGGTTTGCCGACGGCGAGTTGCAGCATTGGCGCGAGACAGCAGAGGGCCATGTAATGCGGAGGCCATGCCGCAGGCAGTCTACGGACACCAGGCCTTCGGCATGGCGACTTGCAAACTCCAGCGACTACGTCGGCGCGCAGGACAAGCGGCAGGGGGCACGGAGAGAGGTCGGCGTCTCGCTACGACGCTGGCGGTGGGGATGTGGAAAGGAGATCCAGCCATGGCATTTCTGGGCGACGGCCATCGAGGAATGGGTAAACCTGTCGCAGCGCTTCCCAGACATTCGCCACAGAGCCTTGAAAGCATGACCTCATATAAGAAGGGGGTTGGCCAAGCTGGGGCCCCAGTGATGGAGAGGGGTTGGCGGGCCAGTCGGAGCAGCGCAGGCCACATTACTGGGCGTGGGCAGGCACGCGCCGACGGCAACGAACTGGCCCCGAGCTGTCGGAGAAGACGAAGACATGGCGGAGCAGCGGGACATCCCCTCATCCCTCGACGTGACCTTCGGCGCCGCAGTTGCTTCCAGCCACTCATTGGTGATTTCGTGGAGGACATTGCCAAGCAGTTGCGGGCCAAGGCAGCGCGGCACCCTGAAGGGGCAGGACTACATCATGGATCAGATGTTTGACATATTCGAGCTGAACACAAACGATTCGGGGATAATGGACAGTTGGACACGATTGGTTTAGAAATGGCAGCGGCTGCCGGTGGACAATGGAACAAGACCGGGGCCTCGGACAGCGGCTACCTGACCCCTACCAGAATATGCGACAGATGCAACGAGGCGGATTGGGCCCTCGTGCACAGGATATGGCTGCGCCCAAAGAACATGGGCCATGACGACTTCCAGCTGATGGGCCTCCTCGCCCCCCCGCCGCGATTGCGCAGGCGGGCTCGGGGCCAGTCGCTGGCTTCGAGGGCCGCCGCCAATTTTTCTCACCCACGCTCGCTTGAATGAGGGTCTTTCACAATGGAGGGGGGGGGGGGGGTTGGGGCGTTGGGGGACTGGGAGGGGTGCAAAGTTAATCAGCAGCTCCATGTTTTTGGAGATGGTTCTGCTGGCCATTTCCCGCCTGACCCACGGCGAAGACGGTGCGGAGCCAGCGTGGCAGCCATCGAAGTTGTAGATTGGGAGTGAAAGTCGGTGCTGCCCTGGCCGCCCCTATCCTCGGCCCTGGGCAAACTGCCCCCAGAGTTGAGATCCTCTCTTCCGTGCTCGCGCTAGAACGGCTGCGAAATAGTTTGGTCTTTGCCGCGGACCATCGGACGGTCGCGAGCACCTGGAGGGGGCGCCTGGGCCCCCCCAGGCCCACGGGATCCAATGAGGACCCCTGGGCCCGCGCCAGGGAAGCCTGGAGCCACCGCCAGCGCCAGGAAGTGGAAGTCTTCTGGGCCCCTTCTCATGTGGACGAGTTGCTTGAAAAACTCAAGCTCGCCCCTGCAGCTGTTTCTCGCAGCAGGTAATCTCGTCGCTGGCACTTGGGCGGGAACGGGGGCGGAGCTGGCGTGGGAGGCCTCATGGTGCGCAAGCGAGCACGCAGAGCGCTGACGATGGCCGCCTCGCCGGAGACGGGAGGGCGAGCCAAACGCCCAAACCCTTGTCAAGAAGCTGGCTAAGCTTGATCGCGCTCTCAGGGGCTCCTCGCGCCAACTGCGCAGAACTGGTAGCAAGTGGCGCTGCGCCGCGTGCGGGGCGATGGTCCCAAGTTCCCGTTTTTTTCGTTTAGCGGCCACTCTTTGCGAGGGCCCCCCTGGGGCCACATCCCAGGGGCCGAGGGGGTGCGCTTCGGCGTCGGGGGCATAGTTCGAAATCCACCCGACGCATTCTGCCACGTTCGTCGCGCAACGGTCACTGCACATCTGCACGGCCCGCGGCATGCACGCGACCGTCGACGCACGGTATTTTAGGAAGAGTTGCCAGGGACTAGCTCCGAACAGAGTCGAGAATTTGCGTCGCATAAAACACAGTATGTTTCCTCGGCGGGAGGGGCTTCCCAAGGCCGTGGGCCTGGCCATTGTTGCTCGGAACGGTCGTCGCCTGGGGTCGTCGGACAGGGGCGGTGGAGAGAGCAGCGGCCAGACGGGAAGCACCCCAGCCGACCCCCTTGAGGTCACCCGCGCACGTGTGGACTGGCGCGAGAGGCTCTGCGTCAGGAGGCCGAAGAGCAGCGGGCGCAGGCAATCGCCCTGCGTTTGCTAAGAGCGGCGAGGGGCCCAGATCTTGACGCGCGGGTGACCTAGGGGGGAGGCGTCAGAGAAACGTCGGGCTGAAGTGTATTCCGCCAGCAGCCAGCCCGACGCGAGAAACAGAGGGGACAGAGGCCCGTAGGCAAGTTGTCCAAATAGTCCTCCTCCTCCGCCTCTGCCCCCCCGCCTTGTCCTCCTCTCGAGAAGGCCCCCGCCCTCTCAGAAGTCGGGAGAACGAAGCAAGGACGTGCACGCGCACCGGAAGAGGAAAAGGCACCCAGGCCGCGGCCCTTCTCTCGTTCTCCCCTGCTTGGGCCTCCTGTGGGGGTCCCTCGTCGCCGCCGCTGGATTCGCTTCGAAATCCTGGTCACAACGCGCCCCGTGAGAGGTTTGGGGAGTAGTGGTACAGCGGAGACCCATGCCCAGAAACGCCTTGCTTGCCTCCAGGGTATCCTGGGTGTCTTGGGTTTCGGCAGTTTTGCCACGGAAAGCGCGACGTTCCCACGCCAAACATCGATGGACGTCTTGAGGTTTCAGGGTTGGGTTTCTTGTAGAAGGCTTCTTGTGGACTGGCGTCCAGTGTATAGGTACCTTTTGATTTTCCCAATAAGGGCGCACACGTACACCAGAATCCACGCTGGTTCCGAGAGTGCCCCTCGCGCGAATTCGCGCTCGTGTCACGCGGCTGGTCTCGCGGACGGGGGGGCGCGCACGTCCTTTCTTCACCACCCACCAAGCCACCCCAACCCCACCCGAAGGCTTCAACCTGCCCTCCATTTCCAGTGTGGGGGGGTCGGGGAACATTGAACAAAACACATGGGACCCGTACCCCCCCTAACCCGAAATTCAAGGGAAATTCGGGTCATCGGGTTGGGTCAGAGTGGGTTGGTAGGTAGTCATGTTTGGGCTTCCTCGGGAGGCCACCCCCCGTCCTTGCCCCATATTCCCCGTGCTCGCTGTCGAGTGGTTGCCGATAAAGAGGGGGTGCGCCTTGCACCCTTCCGCGGCCAGGACCTCTTGCTGATCAGGGACCACTTCACCGCCGAGCCCACCGGCGAAGGGTACGTGCGCTTCAAGAACCACCGGGATGCCCAGCGGTGCATCGAGGCCCCGGCGCGAGGTCAGTACCGTTTAACCGATCCCTATCCCCATCCCCATCCACCTCTCGAGCCCCACCGTCTCACCACCTTCGTTGGGGATATTCCCCTCGAAGCTCACAGAGAGCAGCCTATATCCCCATCCAGGGGGGTTTATCGGCCAGAGGGGCCCAGCCCACGCTGGTGGAGATGGGGCTCGGTGAAACGATGCCCACGAGGAGGACGAGGAGGAGCCAGTGCCACCGAGACGGGCACCCAGAGGTGGACAGGGGGGCAGCCATGTCGAGCATTGCCAGCCTCGTCGGACGGTTTAGGGATTCGGTTGCGCTGATGGTGCCTGTGCAGTTCGCTGGTGTGTGCAACGGACCCCTCGCTGGGCACAGCCCCGCGTTGCTGCGGGGCTTGCGATCTCGGTGGTGCTGTGTTTGGTACCTTACCACGCCCGTTCCAATCGGCCCCGCGTGCAGAGATTCGGGCAGTTGCGACGGCAGTGCGCATGGCGCTGCCACCCATCTCCATTCGCTCGGATCAATTTAACGCGGCGGGTTTCCTGCTGCTCGGTAGAGTTTGTGCCACGCTTCCTTCTGGCGCAATTCGCGACTCGCGGATTGTCCCTCTGGGAGCACTGATGAGGCCCAAGGCAGAAACGGGACCCACCATGCAGTTGAGAGAGGTCTTGCATGAGATGGCGTGCCCGATCGGGTGCATCAGGATGCAAGAGCGAGCTGCCTGTACGAAGTCAGGCAGGAGGTGCAACCGTCGGCGTATTGCAAGATGGACCATGGGACTGCGGTTATCTGCCTTGACAGCGTCGAGGCTGCTTGGAGGAGGCCCTAAAATGAAAAAGAGCCTCAGTCGCAGCGGCCGCGCGGCGCGTCTTATCACACAAACAACATACATGCTCACTCAGCTATCAGATGGAGTCTGGCATCGCTACCAGTGGCGCCCTGCCGAGGCGTGCGCGGAAAAAACGGGAATGCAGCGCCTCAGCCGCATGCAGAGTCTTGCCCGCGCAGGCGAGGACGCCATGCCGCGTGATGGGGAAGTCGAGCGTTTAGCTAATCGCGTTTCCATCTTCCCCAAAGCTGGGTCAGGCTCGACCGACGCTGGACGGGCGCCGCGCTTCTGCGATCTGTGAAGCGAAGATACGTCTCGCGCTGCCTCTTCCGCATCCTGGCCCATGGCGGGAGTGCGAGGCTACAGTCGCGCCCCCTGTCGCCGCCAACGCTGGACAAGCGGCCACCGCTGGCCCCACGGATGGCGTGCTCGAAAGTCCTGTGCGTGAGCACCCGCCAGACCGACGGGTGCGGCATTCCACGGCAGTTCCCGAGGCGACCCCTCGCGCATGTTCCTGCCTCCCACTTGTGGCTGGCCGCTGCGGCAGCTGTGCGTGGCAGTCTCGGCTTGCGGGCTCCAGCCCTAGGTCGGGCATGTCCTCCTGCAGGCGGATGTTTGAACGAACTGTTAAACATACGTCGGCAAAAATAGTCAACAATGGTCAAACCATCGTCCCCAGACCATGTTCTGACTGTTCTGAAGGCTCCTTTTGCAGAGGGGCATGCCCGACTTGACTCTAGCCAGAGAGAGCGAGGGTGCCGAGGCGTCGGCGGGGGGGGCTTGCTCGGCCTCTGCCTGGGAAGGGGAGGGGGGAAGGCCGCGCAGCCGCCGCTGCTGCCCTGCTGCAGTCGCAGCAGCGCCTCGGCTCCGCCCTCCACACCTCGGGCTGGCCTCTCGACCAGCGCGGGGGGGCCCGCGGCGGCTACCTTGGCATCTCTCGGACGCGTGCAGTCTTCTTCGGCAAGAATCGAAGAATATACAACCGCATGAACATAAATTGTTGGCGCTCCGCGCGGGTTTCGTGGATCCCGGCGGCGCCTTTGGCGCCGCCCCTAGCGCGCTCCGCGCGCCAGGGAGGGTGGTCCAGCGCAGATTCAAGAAATCCACGCGGACCTCCAAAAGTGTATGTTTATGCAGTTGCTTCATTCTTCCAAAGAACCATCGAGAATCGAGGAGCATATGGGGTCATCTTGTGACACAAAACACGCCCGAAGCCGCAAACGTGCACGAGGAATGGGCATCCGAGGGACGGCGAGCTGCTGGCCGAGCGCATCCTGGCCCCCTCGGCCTCGTATGCTTCATCTGCTGCTGCTGCTGCTGCCGACCCCTCCACGCCCGCTCCTCCTTGGGCGAAGCGGGGCCGGGCATGTGGAAGCCAGCCCGGGTCCAGAAGTGCGTCCCCGCAGGCCGCCCGGGGGCATTGTGCGTTGCTTGCGGCGCTGTCTCTGCCGAGGAGACATCCCAGGGGGCAGTTGTGGCTGAAGTGCGGCCTCTCGCCGTTGCAGAATGATCCCCAGAGACAGTGGCAGTCCGGGCTAAGTTTGTCTCTCCGTGGCAAGCAGTCTGCGAAGGATCAGCCGACTCCCCTGCGTCCCCCAAGCAGGAGCGAGACGCCGCTGTGGCATGGGTTCATGTGGGGCTCAGGGATTGCAGTTGGTCCATGACCCTTCTCTAAATTGGCTTGCCCTCGGATCGAGTTGTTCTCGAGCTCACGTCTGCTTGCCATGTCTGAGTCTACGCACTGGCACATGAGCTCTGAGGACTGCTATTTCTCGGGGTCAGACTAGGCTTGCCTGTTCTGCGCCTACACTTGAGTTTGCATCTCATGGAGTTTTGACTCGCGTCTGTCTTCAGCCGTCCGACTTCTACCTCCTACACCCCCTCGGCCTCTGCCTCGGCCTGCGCTTCAAACCCCGCCTCCGCTTGCTCCTCTGCCTCCACCTCCATTTCCAACTCCACCTGCACCCCTGCCTCCACCACCACCTCCACCTCCGCCCCCACATCCGCCTCCACGTCACCCCCCCAATTCTTCTGCCCCCGTCGCCATCACTGCACATCCCAACCTCGTGCTTTCTGATCATCATCTCTTTTGCCCTGTTTATCCTTCGTCCACAGTGGCCCTAATCCTTTGCCCAGGCTGCATCGCATTATTCCTCCCACCTGGCCTATTGTAGCCGAGGCGCTGACGCCGGGTGACGGCGACGAGGTTGATCCGATGGACCTCACCGGCCGCTGGTCCGAGTCGGACAGCGTGGGAGGGATTGGGCATTTCGGGTGGACCCCATCGCTCGTCCTCATCAGGTTCCTCGTTCCCTGCGCCCGCTCTTCCCGCGTCGTCCTCGCGGCGGGGTGGTCCGCAGGGCAGCTCGGTCTATGATGTGCGCACCCGCATTCAGTTCGCGCTTTGTATTTTTGCTTGACAGGGAGAAGGGGGAAATGCGCACAGAGGACAGCCATGACCACACACCCCCCACTTGTTCGCGGGTTGCCCGCCCGCGATCCAGACTTTGCCGCCACGTGCGCTTGGTTTTCTAGGCAGGGATGGCGGGGATAGGGACCCTCAGCGTGTGGTCGGCGGCGGGCTGAGTGTGTGTATCAGTGCGGTTCAGTGATCAGCCCCTCCCCAGAGGTGAAGAGGCGGGTTGGAAGAGGAAGCGCCCCAAACCACCCGCGCCAAGAGGGCTGGTGGGACTTTTTCCCGAAGGGGAAGAAGGGGGTTGTAAGAGGAAGCGCTGCATTCCGCCTGTGCCCACAGGGCTTATAGGATTCTTCGCCCTCTTGATGGCCCTGGTGCGGGCGCTGGGGGGTAGACAAAAGCCAAGAAACTATAGCAAAAACATGGGGGAATCCTGAGGTTGGTGTCTGTTTATTTGTGTGTCCCTGGGCCCCTTCATCCTCGCCCAGCTGCTGCTCCAGCCGCGGCGCGACGAGCAGAAGGCGCTCCCCGCCCTCGGCGCGGCGGGCCGCCCGTCTGTGCGCCGCGGCGGTCCAGTTTTGTCTGGAGTGCGCCGGCGTGCCCGCTGCTCCTTGGGAGCCCCCAAACCAGGTGGTGAGATGCCAGGTGGTGACCTAGAGTCCCCAAGAAGTCACGGCTGGGTTTTGGAACACGGGGTCCCCGCCGGGTTTCGTGACTCCTGGAGCCACCAGCGTTCGGGACATCTTCGAGAAACAACACGGGTCCCCAAACCGGTTGGTGACACCAAATCGCCCGAGACTCACCGCCGGGTGTTCTCACCGCCACGTTTGGGGACTATCAAGACCCATTCCAGCGTGCGTCGACGCAGTCTCCTTCGCAGTTCTCGGCTGCTGCGCGGCGGCTGCTGCAGTCGGACTGAGGTGGTGCCCTTGGATGTTCTGTGCTTTTTGACCGGCGCAGGGTCTCGTGTTCTTGAGGGATGCTCTTCTGTCCTAGGTTCGACTGTACCGCACGCCCGCGGCGGCGTTCACAGCTCGTGGTCGCCTTTGTCGCGGCATGCATCGCTGGCATGATGGGCTGCGCTGGGAGTGGGCCCGCCGTCATGAAACCAGTGTCGTACAATCCGTTGTGTGCTCCCCGCGTGTGCGATTCCAAGATGTCGTCCCGCTTCGCCGCGCGTAGGCAGAAACGATTAAGTACGATGATCACATCATCACCATCATCACCATCACCATCTCATCATCACCATCATCATGATCATCATCATCATCACCAGCATCATCATCAGCATCATCATGTGCATATTCAGATTCATCATCATCATCTTCATCATCAGCATCCTCATTCTGATTATTATGCTCATCATGATAATATTAACAATCATCATCCTCGTCGCCATCATCATCATCATCAACATCATCATCGCCATTATCACCATCATCTTCATCATCACCATCATCATCAGCATGATTACGATCATGATCAGGATCGTCATCACCATCAACATCCTCATCGCCATCATCATCTTCATCATCGATGCCATCACCACTATCATCATCATCACCATCACCATCATCATCCTCAGCAGCAGCATCATCGTCGTCCTATCCCTCCCAGTAGCCTCCGCGTCACTGGCAGACTGGCGTTTCTGCGCGTCGCCCTGGCCTTGTAGTTATGGCCATGCTCGTCTCCTGAGGCACCCAGCAGCGGTCGGCATCGGTCATTTATTGGTCGGCTGCTGGTCGGTTCACTTCTGTACCCGAGTCGATCTGCTCTGTTTTCCCTTTTTGTTCTTCTTCTAAGCAACACGATGGACCTCGTTGAATCTGGAAGGGTTGCCCGTCAACCCACAGTTGGAGCACGCACCATGCAACGCCCCACGCCACACACACACACACACACACACACACTTGTTCGGGTGTCGCGGTCCCGCGCGCGGCGACGGGACGTAGAAAGCCGAGTCCAAGCGGCACGCGCGCGTCTGCGCCCGGCCGAGCTCTCAGAGACCACTTAGGGCCCAAACTCCACATGCATACATACATACATGCATGCATGCATGCATGCATGCATGCATACATACATACATACATACACAAATACATACACACATACATTTCCTTACGCACACTTCCCTCCTCCCGGCGCCGCGCCGGCACTGCTCGGCGCCTGCAATCTGCCTGGCTACATCCTGGCTGTAGGAGACACTCCCGCCTCCAATGCGTGCCTCCTGGCCGCCACCTGACTCCAAGGATCAGGGGCAAATCTGGACAATCACCGGCCGAAGAAACTGTATCAAGGTATTGCACACCTGAAGCACGTCTCGGGCCGTCGGTAAGCCGAGAAAAAACAAATGCTAAAATCCTTCAATTATGGGAACACCACTGATTTTGGCCTCTTTGGGTCTTGCTGGAGGCCCTCTTGGAGGCCACTTGGGCTGTCTTGGAGACCTCTTGGGGGCATCTTGGGCCGTCTTGGACCATCTTGGAGCCATCATGGGTTGTCTTGGTGGCCTCTTGGGCGGATTTGAAGGCATCTCGGACCCTCTTGGGCCGTCTTGGAGGCCACCTTGGCCCATCTTGGGCGAATTCGGAGGCCATCTTGGCCGTCTTGAAGGCCGTCTTGAACCATCTTGGCCGTCTTAGGGGCTATCTGGGCCACGGGACACGTCATTCGAGGGACGCGTCATTCGAGAGACTTTTCGAGTAATCAAAGACAAGCCGTATAGGATTTAGCATGCCAGACACTTTTGGTAAGACCACAGGGGGCGGCGGATCTAGTGGCCTTCGGCCCACCCGCCACCGTGCCTCGGTTGAGGGTCAGAGTCCCAGTAGATGCGCTTCGGGGTCTTTTCGGAGGGCTCTCGGGGGCCTCTGGGGGGGACATTTGGTGCCTCTTGGGGACCTCTTTGGGTTCTCTCTTGTGACTGATGGGGTCTCCTGGGGGCCTCTTGGGCGCATCTTGGGGCCTCTTCGGGCTTTCTTGGGGGCCTCTGGGGGCGTCCTTGGGACGTCTTGGGGCCGTGCGCTCGAAATGCTTGTTCTTGAGAGAGGTTCTGAATTTCAGCTCTCTCAGATGAGTGTTGTCGTCTGTTGGGACCCCTCTGGGAAACCGCTGGGAGACAGTTCGGAAGTCTCTTGGACATGGGGGCCGTTTGAAGGCCTCATGGGGTTTCTGTTGGGCCTCTTGGGACATCTTGTCTGGGCTGTGGGTCGTGGGTGAGAGTGGGGCGTATTATGATTATCCTGGGAGCCTTTTGTCTAGGTCGTGGTTCGTGGGTGAGAGTTCTCATGGATGTTTCTTGGGGTAGTTTCGGAGGGCCCTAGGTGGCTTCTGGAGGGCAGGTTTGAGCCCCCTTGGGACCTCCTCGGGGGCCTGCCTCTTCGAGGCCTCGTGGAGCTTGCCTGGACTGTGGGTCGCGAGCGAGAGTGCGGCTGATTCTTCGCCTCCTGGGGGCCTTCCGCCTGGGCCGTGGGTCGTTGGTGAGAGTTCTCATGCATGTTTCTTGGGGTAGTTTCGGGGCGCTCTCGCGGGCTTCTCGGGGACAGTCCTGAAGCCTCTCGGGAGCTTCTCGGGGGCCTCTCTGGTGCCTCCTGGGGTTTCCTGGGGGCCTCTTGGGGCCTCTTCGGGTCCTCTTGGGGTCCTCTTGGGGGCCTCGGGAGGCGTCCGTGGGGCGCCTTGGGCCGCGCGCTCGGAATGCCCCCGCGTGGTTTCCCCATTGGAGCCTCTCTTGGGGGCGTCTTGGGGTTCTCTGGGGGGGCCTCTTGGGCTCTCTTGGGACCCCCTTGGGTCGTTTTGGAGCTCCTTTTGGGGCCTCTTGGGCCGCGTTGGGACGATCTTCGGGGCCTCCAGGGCGATCTTGAGAGTCTCCTAGACCTTCTTGGACGCCGTGCAAGCGAAAAAGGCGAATTTGCTCACAATGCACGCTTTGCACCAGGAGTGGGACGCCGTGTTGCTTCTTGGGGCCTTTTTGCGGATGTTCTTGGGGACATTTTGAGGCGTCTTGGGGCCGCAGCGGGTCGTCTTTGGGCCGCAGCGGGTTGTCTTGAAGCCGCCTTGGACCGCTCGGGGGATCTATGTAGCCATCTGAGGCGGCTCTGGAAACATTCTGGAGCCTTCGGGAGGTCGTCTGAGGCTGGCTGAGCAGCTGCCAGGAGCTGCCGAGAGCTCCCAAGAGCAGCTGGGAAAGCTGGGGTACGAGCCCTTAAGAGCCTCACAGCCCCTCCTAAGTCTGAGGGCTGCATGAGCTTTGGGGCACTCTACTACGTGCTGTAGGCACGGTGGCGGACTTGGGCGAGTCGCAAATCAAATGGATGAGGTGTTGTTTTCGAGTTTCCGCTGCTGGGTCCATGATTGCTCGGTGCCAAGACGTCCCGGAGAGTAAGTTTACCATCGGGAGCGCTGGGTTCCCAACACATTGGGCTCATAAGAAGGGCCGCTGCATCGTGCTCCACCCACGGTCATCCAAGACTCACCGTGGAGCAACGCGACGTTGTCGGCGTTGCTGATCAGGACGGCGTCCTCATGGACTACCTGGCCATACTGCAGCAAAACACCGCGGATGCGCAGTTGTGGCGGATTGAAGAGAAAGGTTAGTGGCCTGGGCCAGGTAATTACGCATCCAGCCGTACGGTCAGCGGAAGGGGAAGCACACTCCCAGAAAGTTGTCGATTCGATGTCGATGATGCTCTCAACTGGCAGCACGCCTGTCACCGTACTTCGGATGGAGGTGCATGCGTCAGACAGGACATACATGGGTTGAGGGTGATGATGTTTGGAATGCTGCTTGTCATTGAGCTTTGGCATCATTGCCAATAGAGAAGTCCACAACCCATTGAACAATGTCTGCGAAGAGGCTTCTGATCAGCAGGCGGACTCGGTGGAAGGCTTAGAGCAGAGCTTCGAAAGAAACGTTGTCGCATACAGCGGCGATGCGGATGTCGTCATGCAATGTTTTTGGACCACACTGGCCATGAGGGCCAGGCGTGACCTCCAGCTGACATGCCGCCCAATTCTAGACTCATTGCTAGAGTAATTCAAGCATTTACGTGCGTGTAAACACTTACCTGGATGAGCGTGAAGCCTAGATGTGTCATGCGGTGAGCTCTCGCACAGATTTGCATGCGTTCACCCAACTTGCACGCTAGTTTTACAGCAGTAATTCATTCTGCATACAAATCAGAGACGTGATGCACTTCTTGTTTTCACAGTCGTGACACGCTTCATGTTTTCATGATTCGCACTTGTGATGCTGTCTTGTTTTTTCTGCCCCGCGCGACTGTAAACTGGTAGACCCACGGGTCGGCATTCCACCAAGCACGGGTTCAATAGCGATCCTGTTGTGTCTACCACCGCGTCTTACGGATGCACGGCTTCTGGTTGATTGATCCGTATAAGAATCGGTGCTTTGAACCGCTGGCCCCTGCAGTGCCATAGAGGCGCAGGCCCGCAGCCTTCTGCGGCATCGTCTGTTGCTGGAGTGCTCCCACGACGACGAGAATGATTGGGTGGAGGGGGGGGAATTCGGTGGCAAATCGTATGAGCTTGGTATATCTCTTAATTCCTTGTGCAGCGTCGGTTAGCGTCGATTAGCGTCTGGAGTCGACGAGGTAGCGCTGATCTAGCGTCGGTTAGCGTCGACTTAGCGTCGGCCAGCGTCGATTTAGCGTCGATTCGCGCACATTCGCAAGAGCTGACAAGATGGTATGGGTGGCTCCCATGAGTTGCCACAGAAGGTTGAGGGGGGCGAAGGAGGTCCTAATCTGCCTGAGGGTGCCTGCTCCGCGTCGTTTCGCTCTTCGGGCCTCTCCTTCCAGAGCACGGCCGCCACCTCCAAACGGCGGGCCTGCCCTCGGCGGCCCGGGGCTGGGGGGGGGGGCGACCAGACCCACTCGCCCCGAACGTTTTTTGCGGCTGTGGTTTTCTCACTTCAGGTGGGGTGTTCGCCTGCCGCGGAGAGCTTCGCTGATGCAGCGCGGTCCACGTATGCTCTCTTTCTCGCATTATCTATGCTTTTTTTGTTTGATTGTTTTGTTTCTCTCTCTCACTCTCTCTCTCTCTCTCTCTCTTTCTTTTTTTCTCTCTCTCTCTCTCTCTCTCTCTTTCTCTAACTCCGTAACCTCCTGATGGAGGCACCCTTCAGTTGTTGTTTGTTTTTCCAGTGCTCGGCGGGCAAGGCCCTTCCACTGCGGACGCGCGTTTCCGCGCTGTCCTATCCGATCCTATCCTCGCGATCCTCTCAGCTGGCTTGGGCTACGGGGCCCGTACAGCCACTGGGCTTGGCTGGAAGCACCGAATCGCGGTGGTGAGGCCGATCCTGGCATGATGTATCGCTGGTCCGAGGCCTGCTCCGTGAGGCGCACGCGAAAGCCAGCAGCAAGACCAATGAGGCTTGCTGGGGCGTTCCCCAATATCCGACGTCGCGATTTTTTGTTTGTGTCGCGGCGATCCCACGCACCCGGCGAATCGGACCGCTCTCCCCTTTCACACAGACTCCCCCCCCCCGCCCCCAAGAGTTCACTTTCTCCCGCTGTTAGCGAGTCGGACCGCCTCCCCCGTTCACACAGAACGTCACCCCCCCGGGAGTTCAATTCCCCCCGCTCTTCGCGCAACAGGAGTATTCACCCTCTCCCTTAGCGTCCGTCGTCGTCGTCGTCGTCGTCGTCCTCGTCGTCGTCGTCGTCGTCGTCCTCTTCGCGTCGTCGCGTCGTCAAAAGACGGCGGCGGCCGGGCTTTAGGGATGGGGTTTGCACGCGGTTTTTTGGAGGGGGGGGGGTCCTCGAGTTTTCGGATCAGCAGGATATTTGAGGTTGGGTGGGGTGGGTGGGGCGGTTTCTCAACATTACCCCCCCCCCCTCAAGCGACCACTGATATCGCTTGTCCATTGCGCCTCTTCCACGGACAGGCTTTTTGATCCCAAATCGTTTTCTGACGGCCCTGAGGCCTAGCAAGGGCCCCCATGAGTCTGAGCTTGTCGACAGCCCTCAGTCGTGATGACTTTCTTTTTCACGGCGCAGGGGCTGCGAGGATGCTTGGGTTTGGGCCCTCCTTGGCTCCTCCTCTGCCCTGCTTCGTTATCGCCTGCTCCCTCCCCCCCATCAGGAGCGGGCCCTGCAGAAGAAGGCCAACTGCTACAGGTTCAACGTCGTGGCGGAGCTCGTCGGCGCGGACGGCTCTGGGCTCGACAGGCTGAAGAAGGAGGCGGACCGCTGGGGGGGAAGATCGCCGCCGCGAAGGGGAGGGGCCCCTGGGGGAAGCAGGGTCCGTTTCGATCCGATCAGTCCGATGTGATAGTGATCGTTTTCTTATTCATTGTTTTGCCGATCGGCGCGGGCCCTCGCACCCCCCCGCTCCTCCCCCCCATGGAGTAGATCTTGGCTGTTCTTGGCGCGAGGTCCGGAGCCAGGCTAATTGCTTGCCGTCTTCGCGCCAGAGTTGTTGGGGGAAGCGGCTCGGGAGGAGAGAGAAGCTGGTCCTGGGGGGACGCCCCCGGGCCCAGGCTACGTATCCGCGTCCACCGGGGCCCCTCTGCAGCATTCCAGCGCGGGGGTCGGGGGATGAGGAGGAGGAGGAGGAGGAGGGAGGGAGCGAGGGAGGGAGGGAGGGAGGGAGAGAGGGAGGGAGGGAGCGAGGGAGGGAAGGAGGGAGGGAACGAGGGAGCGAGGCAGAGGGAGGGAGGGGCAGGAGGATGAGAAGGAGGAGGATGATTTTTTTAACTCTGCACCGTGCCCAGGAGGTGACACCTGGGAGAGGACATATTATTCTGGCACAAAAGACGGACCAAGGCGGTGGCTGACGCGAACGACGGACACCCCAAGGACCGAAAGTCAGTCAGCGTCAGCAGACTCCGCAGACCTGACGCGAGCATCCTTAGTCAGAAGGGGGGCATCATCCTTCTCTTGGAGGAGGCGCTGCCTGACTGACCTCAGCTGCTCAGCGGGGCTACTCTCCAACGCGTTGGCAAGAGAGGGCCTGCTGGAGGCGAAGAGGAAACGAGCAGCCTCCTCTTCCTCCGAAGGAGGAGGAGGAGGAGGAGGAGGAGAAGGGCATGACGCTACGAGCTCGCTCAGTGTTTTCCCACCGCAAAAACGAGGAGCATGAGGATGGTGAATTTACAGAAGCCTGCAAGTCCCCACCAGCAAGTCTGAGTGCGGGGCAGAAGGCAAGCCCAAAGCTCACACAGTGCAAGCTCCCCCATGCCTTAAAGGTTTGCCCCAGGGGAGCGCGTGAGATTGTCCCAGATCCTCTTGGAGTCTTATAATCAGAACCACAGGATGTGTGTGTGTGTTTTCGCGGAGCAAGAGGAGGAGCAGGAAGAGGATCGAGAGGGTCTACAGGAAAATTGCCAGCGGTGGATACTCATTTTGGGTAAGGTGCTGTCGGTTTCGGGGCGATCGTTGCCCGTCTGGTTGTCGGCAGTCCACTGGCTGTTGCCGCCCACTTGGGACAACCGATGTTGTTTGGCAGCGTTCCCATTCATCGAGGAGCAAAATACGGCATACACATAAACTGTTGGAGCTCCGCCGGGATTCCGTGGATCGGCGGTAGGGACCCCCTTGCGGCGCCTCTGGCGCCGCCCCTGGCGCGCCCCGCACGCCAGGGACGGGGGTCCCAGGCGCCTGCCCAAGAAATGCGCGCGGACCTCCAACAGTTTATGTTTATGGCGTTTTCCTTGTCCTTCTGATTGCGGCCGGACCAGGCTTTAAGATCGATGTCGGTTCGGGGGGCGTATCTTGTTGTTTTTCGCGTGCGTTGGAAATTGTTCTGCATCATGGGGGGGAGTACCCTCGGAGTTTGGCCTGCGGAGGGTCTCGTGTTCTTGAAAGATGTTCTCCCGTCCCATGTCCGACGATCTAGTGTGGGTGCAGCCTACGATCTACGACATGTAGGCTACGGCGGCCACGTGGCGGCGACGGGCGCCGTGGGTGCGAAAAAGCAAGCAGAATCGGTCGTCGCGTGGGGTGGCCACGAGGCGGCGGCGGGCGCCCGCTGGGCGAAAAACGTGGGATTACATCCAACAGAGAGACGAGTGCGAGCCCCTTGGCCCGGCCACGTGCAGAGGGAGTGGGGGAGGCTTCTTATTAACGCCCCTGCTGCTTAGAAGGCGCGGGCCTTGTCTATAGGTGTGGGGCCGGCACCTTCTGAGGGACAGCCTCCTTCTGAGAAGCCTGTTCCATTCGACCTACCCATCGTGTGTGCGCCGCGAAAAGAAAGAAATGAAGACAAGATGCGCGGAGCGGAGCGGACCACATGTGCGAGAGGGGAATCCTACTCAGGTGATCGTGACTTATTCTCAGCATAAGCTTCCAAGCAGTTTTACGGCACGCTCCGCGCGCGCCAGTGGAGTTGCGGCACGAAGTCCCTACAACCTGCGTGCGGACCTATTTTGGCGGGCCCCAGAACGAGACCCGCTCGGAGATCAGTGGATTGGCTCTGCGAAGCAAGATAGGGCTTCGTGCCCGTCTAGAAGGGGAAGAGCGGCCAGGGCAGAAGGGAACGACACGACAGATGGGAGCAGCAGCGTCACAAGGACGGGAGGGTAAAAGGAGGATGGGGAGGAGGAGGAGGAGGAGGAGGTGGCGGACGAAGAGGAGGAGGAGGAGGAGGAGGAGGAGGAGGAGGAGGAGGGGGAGGAGGAGGAGGAGGAGGAGGAGGAGGAGGAGGAGGAGGAGGAGGAGGAGGAGGAGGAGGAGGAGGAGGAGGAGGAGGAGGAGGAGGAGGAGGAGGCGGAGGCGGAGGAGGAGGAGGAGGAGGAGGAGGAGGAGGATGAGGGAGGAGAATTCGGGAGAATTCGGCGACGACGATGTCGAGTTTCGCCACTGGGACGGGCGCCGCCTCGGGGCCTGAGGAGGAGGAGGAGGAGGAGGAGGAGGAAGAGTAAGAGGAGGGGAAAAGGATGAAGAAGAGGAGGAGGAGAAGGAGGAGGAGGAGGAGGATAAGGAGGAGGAATAGGAGGCGCAGGAGGAGGAGGAGGAGGAAGAGGAGGAGGAGTAGGAGGACGAGGAGGAGGAGGAGGAGGAGGAGCTGGAGGAGGAGGAGGAGGAGGAGGACCATAGCTAGCCAAATATGCATAAGCGATGCTGCAACACGCCCTCCCGTCCCAAGTCCCCCTTATACGCCCCTGCAAATATTCCTCCTTTTTACTTGACATCTCTCGGACGTGTGCATCTCTTCTCGGCGAGGACCATTGAGGCGCATCCTTGATCCTTCCAGCAAAAACAAAGTACGCACGAAACCGACACATGCACGGGGAATGGACGTCAGAGCGATGGCGAGTTCATTGCAAGAAGCGTTTTTTTTGAACAGCCACCCAAAGTTGGTTGAAACACCAAGGTTGGGCCTGCCGTTTTGGCGCGGGCGCCACTTTGAGAAAGAATTGCCCTGCATCTGCTTCGCCTGCAATCGGGAACGCGGAGCAGAACAACGGCCATGCAGTTCAACAAGCTGTCCAGCGATATCCTCATTTCGACGAAAAGCTACCGTCAAGTCGTGAAACAGTTGCACAGGTCAACCGAAGAGGACTACGCCATTCCGCCGATCCCAAACACAGGGAATTCGCCAAGAGTCGCGCCACCGTGCCTGGCCTGTGGGTCAGGAGCCCCCGGTGGTGCATGTGAGGATCTCCTGGAGGGCTCGTGGGGGGGCCTCTTGGACGGCTCTTGGGGCATCTGGTTGGCTTTGGGGTCTCTCGGGGGCCTCTCGGGTGCGTCTTGGGTGTCTCCTGGAAGCCTCGTGGGGCATCTTGGGGCAATCGCGGCGGGAAAGACTCGCCCCTTCTTCGGCCTCTCTTGGGGTCCTCCTGGGCCGCTGAGGCGACTTAGGGTCCTCCGGGGGTCCTCTTCGAGAGTTCTTGGGCCGTCTTGGAGCCCTCTTCTGGGCCTCATGGGCCGTTTTGGGAGAATCTTCGGGGGCCCCTTGTGCCGTCTCGGACGCCGTGAGGCTGGCAAACCGAGTGTGCTGAACATATGCGTTGTGTTTTTAGGTAATGGGGCTGGGGCTCTTTGGGCTCTTTGGGCTCTTGGGGCTCTTGGGGCTCTCGGCGGTTCTCTGGGACCACGCGTGGGCTGTCATGAGGGGCCCGGGCCCGCGTGGGCCGTATCGAAGCCATTTGGGACCGTCGTGGGGCTGGCTACCTTGGGCCATCGCGACGCCTATGTGGACTGTCTTGCCGCTTTGCTCGAGCCCTCTTGGGCCATCTTGGCGCTCCAGAAATGCTCTAGAGGTGCCCAGGATGCGTTTGGGAGCTCGAACCCTCCCCCCCCCCCTCAGCCCCCCCTACCGGCCCCCCCCTCGCCCCCCCCCCCCCCGCTCTTATCAGATTTCAGACCCCAGGGGCCCCAGGGGAGGTCCAGGCCTCCCAGATCGCGGAGGTTCGCGCCGCATCGCCGATGCATCGACGATGCGGCTCGATGCGGAGCCCGATGTTCTGCACACCGACGTCGCCGATGCGTCGCCGACGTCTGCGATGCATCCCCGATGCATTGGCGATGCGGCGCGATCTTCCGACCCCGTCTACTCGGACCCCATCTAGGAGGCCTCTACCGATTGGGAGGGGGACAGCCAATCATCTCACACGCCTCTGCACCCCCCCGACAAGCGGGGGTCGGCGGGCCCTCGTGTGCACGAGCTTCGAAGAGGCATCGAGCGGCAGCTCCCTTTTGCAAAAGAGCAGCCATGGACCCGTGCAGCGCTACGCGCGTGGAAGCTTCGGGCCCAAGCACTTGCGAAGTCTCAAGCGAGAGCCCCTACATCAGGGAGGAAAACAGCACCCAGACCCTGTCAATTGGCGTTTACTAGACGGCCCCGGGAGTTTACTAAGCAGCCTTGCCTCTTTCGATTCCTTCCCTTGGTGCGTTTGCTAAATGGCTTCGCTTGTCGGGGTGTTTATTGTGGGGATGGGTGTTCTGCCCTCTACTGCGCGTTTACAAAGGACACTCCTTCATCATGCAAAACGTTGCGTCAAGATAACTGCTGATCGCGGTGGACAGGCGAGAGCCGCTGTTTGAAAAGGGACCACCCTCCATCCGTGAAGCTGGTACGAACTTACAACAAGCAGTGAATGCGCGTTGCTTTCAAGGCGACGGCACCAGTTTGAAATCTGTCTTTTTCCTTCAATGCACATATTTCAAACGTTTACACCGAATTTGCGTGTCGGTGAGGCGATAATCACATTGTGAGAAGGAGCCTCTCTCCATCCGTGAAGCTGTTGCAGCATGAGCCGCCCGCATCCGCGAACATGTTGCAAG